GCGATGAAAAGTTAGCTCATTGGAAATAAGGGTAGTGGAGCAGAGGTCAGTGGAACAGAGGTAAAGAAGAAACTAATTGGAACGGCACGGAACCGGAGAAATGGGACCATTTCCACCCAGGTGGTGCTGGCATTCAGGACTCGGAATGGGAAAGCCATGTGAGAGCTCGGGCATCAACGGATTGTAGCCTCATCGGTTTGAATGCGAATTTCGCGATGAAAAGTTAGCTCATTGGAATAAGGGTAGAGGTGGTCAGTGGAGCAGGGATGAAGAAGAAACCATTGAAACGGCCCGAAACCCGAGAAATGGGACCCCTTCCTTGCCCGTTGATTTGCGCATTGATGCGACTCTCATCGCTGTGCCCTCTTCAACACTACGCTCTCTGCTATCTAATCACTCGCCACGTATAGACCTGCGGCGAGTGATTAGATAGTCGGTGGGCGTACCCCGCCAACCGCGCCAAGAGTGAGCCATGCTAGATCGCCGAGGTCAAATCTTTCGCTGCCAATTGCGCGTCGGTCAGCACCCTCAGGAGGTCCGCCTGTCTCCCAACTATGCAATTTCCCCTTCTTTGACCTTCCTCCTTGAAAGGTGTATTCCACGATTGAATTAGGTGAAATAAAGCCTTTGTAAGCAGGATTGAACTGGACAAAAATAGAAAATGTGTCGTTTCGGAGGCTCAATAGTGCGCGGCGAGAGATCTAGGGCTTTGTCATAACCTCAGATGACAGCCGCTCCTCTAGCCCATGACGGCGTCGATGCGGAGGGGTATCTGCGTCCTCTCGTATATCGCATTCTCTCCTACTCACCCTGCTCTGCTTTAAGGGTTTTTTCGCGGTATGACCCTCCATCACATAACAAAGGAGCGCTTTACTTCTGTTTTTTTGGTGATTTCATCGATTTTTTATGGCAGCTCATTTCGCATCCTGCTATTCATTTCTGAGTAGAATAAAACAATTTTCGTTTTTGGAGTTTTGCTTCGGCTCAGTACCATGTTTTTTTTCTGAGCTTCTTTGGTGATGTGAAAGTGTCGATAAAATAACTGTTCTCCTTTGATTGACCCTCTAAATGTCGCCTCGTCGAAATTGCATTATTGATGTTTTTGAGAGATGAAGTCAGCGCTAGTTGCAATCATTTATATGGACAAAGGTTCCACAGTGCCGTTGCCGCTCGCATGATGAGAAAGATCGAATTCCGGATCTGAATCTGAATTTTGCGCAAGCCAGTCAAACCTTCCATCTCTCAGAAGCAATTGTTGTTATCAGATCAGTCCAGAGAGAGAGAAGAGAAGGAGAGAAAAAAATCTTTGGGCGGCTTGTTCTTCTTATAACTCATTAAACTTGTCAAATACACTCTCAGAAGCCAGAACTAGTGTCGCCCAATTCGAGAAGAAAATCAATCAATTCCAAAAAATTCATGATTTAATCTTATACCTGTTACCGTAACCAGTATTCATTAGGTATCGCCTTTCTTGTGGTATTTTTACTCGTGCTTGCCGCGAGGGTTGATGGCAAGCCCTTCCATTGGCAGTGTTAGGGATGTTTATGGAACGTCGACTGAGAGCGATTGTTCTTCCAGCTCTTGTGTTCATTTCTCTTTACAGCTTTCTACCTCATAAGGAGCTCAGGTTATTCCTTCGAAGCTTTTCTTTTCGAAAATGATTCCTTAAAGTCCATATTTCAAGCTGTTATGATTCCCGATGTTCTTGAATGTAAATTTTTCTTCAATTTTTTTTACTATTTTGCTGAAGAAGTGTTGTTTAGGTTCATCATCTATGCGTTCCCATTGATCAACATCTCAGCGGCCGTGTTCTGTGGAAGAATGTAAGTCTTCAGCATTGCCTTTTGGCTTTTACAGGGCGGTGGTTCATTTAGGTTGTTCGCGAAGTTAAAATAGTGACTACGGTAATTTGGTTCGTAGTTGAAAATGTAATTTGAACCTGCTTATCAGGGAACTTTTGTACCTAACAAGATAACATGTGGCGCATATTGAGGCAAAAGGAATACTCGAAGCGACTGAACAAGGACCTAAACACCCCCCGTTCCGATTCGATCTTTGCTCCGCCTCCAAGTCTCTCAAGCCGGTGGCATTTGTCCGTTTGCGCCTAACCTTTCCAGCAAAGAGCTGGGGCAAGGTGTTCCTGTGGTTGCTAACTACATATGGAATACGGCTGAGTGTAGTAAATGGTCAAACAAGGGCCTCATTTCGCGGGTTATAGGCCAATTCCTTTGATTTTTTCTTCCAATCAGCACCTCAGCTTTCATTTTCAACTACCGACGGTACTACCGTACTCACTGTCTCAAGTGTTATTTTTCACAGCTAGCTTACCTTGATGCTTATGTTGGTTCGATTTTGACATGAAATCGGATTTTCCCTTGTACAGGTAAAGGCACATTTGAATTAACAGTTCTTCTGAAGGAAAACTCAAGGACCAATTTTCAAAAAAAAAAACTGGGAAGTGCCACTTCCTCAGTGTGGGTCAAATACGTAAATGACAAGTTTTCCACATTGATATCAAATAGCGGTAAGGAATCTGTTAGTCCTTAAGAGTAATGAAATTTGAAGAACTGCAGCTCGACGCAGTCAAAGGAGCTGGCAATGATCAGCTTCGTCTGTTTCGGCCAATCTCTTCCTCAGGGCCCTCAATAACCCATGTAATGCATGCAGCGTCTATTACTAGTCATTCTGAAGGAGAAATGGAACTTTCATGATGTTTCTGTGCAGTTCTTCAGTCATTTCCGGGTCCAAACTGCTCCATTCCTACAGTAATTCTGTGTCGGGTTTTGTTGTTGACTATAAAAGTTTAGCACTTGAAGGCTGAGTTCAGATGATTTATCACCCCAGTGGTCTAGTCGGTAGCACATCTCCC